CTTAGATGAGGGGAGACTAAAATTGAAATGCCAGCTAAAAAAATTGTATAGCTAACATTAATTAATCATTTAATGTGTGACAGGAAGTATTCGAAGGGTTTTCTTTTTTCCATTTTTATGTATATTAATTCATTTAGTCCTTACAACCACCCAATGTATTTCACCATCTCCATTTTAAAGTTTTAAGCCACCGGGTCTGGGACGTGAGCCGCGGTCGACTACATGGGAGTCCAGCGACATAGCCATTACGCTAACTGCTGGTCCCACTTTTCTATATTTTTAATTTTTAAAAAAAGTTTGTAAGATTAAGTATAGATCAATAGACACTGTCAATTTTTGTCTAAAATGCTTTTATTCATACTTTATAGAAGATTAAGAAAACATCACCTGTCCACAATAATACAATGTGAAGTACTTTGGGGGAAGCAGCAAGTGATTCAGAGGATGGAGAGGTTGACAAGGACTAGTGTTTTTTATGTTATCTTGGTGACAGGTGTCTCTTTATATCTTTTAAATAGGGACAGGACATGACCCGCCTTACCCTACTTAGATGAGGGGAGACTAAAATTGAAATGCCAGCTAAAAAAATTGTATAGCTAACATTAATTAATCATTTAATGTGTGACAGGAAGTATTCGAAGGGTTTTCTTTTTTCCATTTTTATGTATATTAATTCATTTAGTCCTTACAACCACCCAATGTATTTCACCATCTCCATTTTAAAGTTTTAAGCCACCGGGTCTGGGACGTGAGCCGCGGTCGACTACATGGGAGTCCAGCGACATAGCCATTACGCTAACTGCTGGTCCCACTTTTCTATATTTTTAATTTTTAAAAAAAGTTTGTCTTTCATCAGAGTGAGAGACAGAGAAGCACCCTCAATAGGGTCTCACGCTGCCCTCTCCCACCCACACAGCACCCTTCCCAGCCAGGCTGGATGGTGAGCCCTTGCCATTACAGGTGGCCCTGGGACGCTGAACCCACGACCCAGAAAACAAGCCCCTCTTCGCTTTTCTCAATCTATAAAAATTCTTGAAAGTTGATGGAGGGACTAGCAGTTAGCGTAATGGCTATGTCACTGGACTCCCACGTAGTCGACCGCTGTTGGCTTCCCGAACCTGGTGGCTTAAAACTCAAGCCGGGCATGTGTGTGTGTGTACCCAAGATCTCAAGAGGAGAATGGAGGAGAAGGGATTGTGGTGTGGCCATCCTCCATGGGGCTGCGTCACCATCCCCTCTGGGGGGGTGATTTCTCACTTTCTGTCTCTCTGGCGAGCGCACGCGCCCTACAGTGAAAACCTCTCCAAAAAAAAAAGAAAGTTGATGGAAAGTGCAACCACTAAGACAGCCCATTCCCGGATGGAATTTTACTCCGTAGGAAAAGAGGAACATGGAACAGCAATTACAAGTGGCACGCGATCAGAGGGGAGTTTTGCTTCTACATGGGAGGAAACTTGCTTTGTTCGCCACCAAATCACCAGGGCCGCCCAGACGCTGGCCACTTCTAGGGCATTCAAGAAAGACTCGATCGAGCCGGCCGGTGGGGGGTGGGCGGGGTTGGAGGATGGCGGTCAACATGG